CATACACACACAGACACTCTCACACACACACTCACTCTCACACTCACTCTCTCACACACACACACACTCACTCCCATACACACACAGACACACACACACTCACTCACACACACTCACTCCCATACACACACAGACACAGACACACACACACACTCACACTCAGTCTCACACACACTCACTCACTCTCACACACACACTCACTACCATATACACACAGACACACATAATCACTCTCACACACACACACTCCCATACACGCACAAACACACACTCAGACTCACTCTCACACACACACTCACTCTCATACACACACACACACTCACACTCACACATAACTCAGTCAGAGAAAGAAAAGGGGGGAAAGCAATAGAGGGGTAAAGTAACACAGAAACGGACCCTTCGGCCCATCGCGTCCGTGCGACCCAGAAATCCTAAATTAATCCAGTCCCATTTGTCAGCATTTGGCCCCTATCCCCCTCAACCCTTCCTATCCATGTCCCCATCCAGATACCTTTTAAATGTTGTCATTGTACCAGCCTCCTCCACTTCCTCTGGCAGCTCATTCCACACACGCACCACCCTCTGTGTGAAAATGTTGCCCCTCAGGTCCCTTTGCCCTCTCACCTTAAACTTATGCCCCCTGTAGTTTTGGACTCCCCTCACTTGTCTATTCACCCTATCCATGCCCCTCATAGTTTTATAACCCTCTATAAGGTCACCCCCTCAGCCTCCGACGCTCCGGAGAAAACAGCCCCCAGCCTCTCCCTGTCCCTCCAACATCCCTTTTCCGAACCCTTTCCCAACGTCCTTCCCGGAGCGGGGAGACCGGGATTGGACGCAGTATTCCCAAAGCGGCCTCACCAATACATGACCCTCCCGACTCCTACACTCAACGCACCGACCCATGAAGGCGAGCGTCCCAAACCCCCTCCCTCACCGCCCTGTCTACCTGCCACTCCACTTTCAAGGAACTGTGTACCTGCTCCCCAAGACCACAATCCTGAGCCCTCTCCAGTTCCTATAACGGGGCGACCAGAGCTGGACACAGTGCTCCAGGAGAGGCCTCACCAACGTCCTGTACAACCTCAACGTGACATCCCCCAGCTCCTACACTCAAAGGGTCTGAGCGATGAAGGCAAGCGTGCCAAACGCCTTCTTCCCCACCCTGTCTACCTGTGACGCTAACTTCAAAGGATTATGTCCCTGAGCCCCCTCGGTCTCTCTGTTCCACAACACCACCCCAAGGCCCTACTTTTAACTGTAGAAGTCCTGCCCCTTGTTTGTTTTACCGAAACGCAAGCACCTCGCGTTTATCTGAATTAAACTCCATCTGCCCCCTCCTCTGCCCTTCTGATTGCGGTCCCATTGCCCTCTGAAGTAACCTCCTACCCGCTCTCCCCTACTTTGGATGCCCATCTGCAAACTTACTGGCCGCGCCTCCTGCGTTCACCTCCAAACCGTTCGCCCGGTCAGTGCCCCCCCCCCCCCCCCCCCCCCCCACACGCCCTGACGGTCTCCCGGTGCCAAATCAACTTTGCATCCCCTTTGGCAAGACCATCAATGCTCCTTGGGAAACAGAGAGCTGGATTAAAAGAAAAAGGGTGGGATGGGGAGGCTGGCGGGATTGGGGACGGGAATGCTCACGCTGCCCCACCCCACCCTTCTCCAGCCGCACTACCACCCCCCCCACCCCCCCCACCCCCAAACCTCCCTGGCCCGAGGAACAGCACCTGGTATTGCCCATCTGCGGCGTGCACCTGGTCCACGGCGATGGCAGTGATATCGTGGGCCACGTGACTTCGAACGAGGAGGGGCCCCTTCCCCACCGGGTACACCGCATTGTGCATCAGCGGGTGGGTGCGAGCGAACTGCGCCAGCTCCTCTGGGTAGTCCCTGGTGGATGCCATCC